GTTTATTATATGTTTAGATTCGGCAAATGCACGTATTTGATTTGATGATTTTGCATTGGTATTCAGATGTTTCAATTAAATGACCAGTTGCGTAATTCAATACCTAAATGAGGAAATTATTATTGTTTTTGATAAAGATAGCTTTTTCCCCTGGTTCATTTGAAGAACGGCGTGGATATTGATTCGTGGTAGATATTTCTGTATTTTTATAAGAAATCATAAAAGAGGGTTTTTTTTCTTATTTTGGGGTTAGGCTATAGCGAATATAGGGATACTTTCAAAATATTTGTGCGAAATGTTGAAGTGCAAAGAGTTTTAATAAGTTGATTATTAACACGCTTCGAATATTGTTTCTTAGCTGTTCACCACAAGATTTTCAATTTTAGGGAGTTCAAACAAACTTCTAGAGTTCAAACGTAATCTTTGATAAAAACTTGTTAAGATAATACTGTAGGTTAATTCCTGAGCACTGGACTGTGCTTTAGGCTTTTTAAATGGTGAATTTGAATGTTTCATCATACTAGTATAGCCACATTTGTGTACATAAAAAGAAGATTTTATTGTTTTGATAGACAAATGTTTAAATTGTGTAAATACATATGTCGCCCTATCAGAGGGCAGTAATTTATGAAAAATCTTTGAAATTATTGAAAAAAATAAAATATTGAAAAGTAACTGAGGACATTTTTGGTTGATTCATTTGCCCCTGTCCTTTCTTTTCTTTTTGTTACTGATTTCTGTTGTCTTTTTGCTAGCATCTACAGTATTTTTTTATCATTTTAATACACACTTTATATACAATTAATAAAGTTTAGTGAAAAATATTTATAAGGAAATTTAAGGTTTTTAAAGTGTGTGAGCTATGGTGCTGAAGGAGTGAGAACCGGCTTGCATGGCGTCGTCTGCTCTTACATTCAGGGTTCTTGTTGACCCTTACAATAAGAAATGAGATATTAAAAATATACAAACCAGATAAAAAGCAATGAAATCGTGGGTTAGTGTCTAAACTCGCAAGCCAATGTAGAGAAACTTAAAAATGTTCATTAGTCTGGTAGATATACATGGATTGTTGAATTAAAAATTACACAGACAATTTGATGGCAAAAAGCATTGTGTAATTATTTTAATATTAAGATTAAAATTAAAATTTTAATTAACTTAATCAATTGAATTAAAATTCAATCAATGTAGAGAGGTGTTTAACATGGTAGAAATTCGTTAGATATATATGTATCAAATTTCAATTTGGACGCAAACACGCTGCTGTTGTCAACCCCTACCCACCCCCATACTAAGATAATGAAAATATAATCAAGATGGAAAGAAATATAAAAGTAATTTAATACAGGAAAAAAATCAGGTTCTTATTTTTTCGGTTATAAGAGTGGAAGGTGACCCAAATTTCATCGTAAAGAAATTTACCTAAATCATACCCTAAATGCAAAACTGATAGCCAAGCAACTGAAAAACGCCCCATGATTTCTGAACGTTTTGTTGACGGACAAATCATTTTATCACTCCGTGTGGACAAATAGTCCCGTTTCCTCCCTGACTCAAATAAACAACTGAACTTACTTCAACTAAGTGTTTATTTCCCTTCCAATGGCCGACCCACGCTTTCGAAGAGTCTGCGATAGTATTTAGTCCTAGGACAAAGACTGTGAATAGAAAAATCGACCTGGGAACAAAGTGATCGTGATTGCTATATAAAAGGTACGCGGGTTGCTGTAGAATGAGTTCTTGATAGCGAGAAAGAGCGCTGAGTAAATCTTGAGGGCAGAGAATTATTAGGCCTCATACCGTCTTGCGTAATTGACGGCGAGCACTGACGCAGCGTTGTAGGCTTTTGGTAGTCCGCTTAAAAGCACTTTAAAAGTAAGTATTTTTTTTTCAAATGGTATGGTTATGTCCCAAGTTAACCTTAAATGATTTTTAAGGTTGGATATTGCAATTACTTTATTACTGTTATTACATAGTATTTTTTACGAGAACCACTGAAATGCACTATGTGACATGAGATGTTTGAGATCTGACCATCGGTCAAAATTAATGCTAGTTTATAAGTAACAACCAGTTAGCACATAAGATTTATTCAACAAAAAATAGACGGTACGTAATAGTTATTCGTTTTACTTTTCTTTTTCAAAAATTGTTTCATTACAAACAAAACAAAGTACTTGAAGAATGAAGTTGCATGGTTTATTGAATTTTTCGTTATAAGTTTGAATTATATTGCGTGAACTATTCCCACGACATTCTATGGCATATTTCCAAAGAGATGACTTCCTTGACGGGTTTCCTGGTCTTGGTGGCACTGGCAGTAGGGAGCAATGCGGGCCAGAACTCACTCATGTCCTTCAAGAATAACGGCTACGACGGCGTACTGGTGGCCATACATCACAGCGTCAAGGAAAACTTGGCCATGATTGACGAAATTAAGGTAAATTTTCATCACTGCAACAATAATTGCCTTCTATCATATTTACAGTATATAGTGAGAGTGAAATGCAAAATTAAAAAAGAAGAAAGTAAATGTAGTCCTTTAAGTAGTAAGCTAAATTTTCTTTATTATGGTAACGTAAATCATGTCACAGAAAAAGGCGAAATCAAATAAATTCTCAGAAACTAACGTTAAAATGTATCGGTATTCCGCTTGAATAAATGATTCATCGGTTAAAGACTGATTATCCCCAAATAACAAGTGGAAATGAGTTTACTTCTAATTTCCAACAAACAAGATGAAATGGTCTCTTAGTGTCATTTGTAAATAAATATCGTAAAGAAATGGAAATGATATCGAAAATTAACTCAATATAACGTCACAATGAACCTTCTATCGAAGAAAAAACAGGACTTTGTCCGTTCCCTTTGTCTTTTCCTCTTCTCTCTCTCTCTCCTCCCCCCTCTCTCTTTCATTTTTCATTTATTTACTGCCGTTCCTATAATTACTATAATATTTTAATTCATCCACCAGAAACTCTTCACGTCTGCCTCTCCATACCTCCACACCGCCACACGCCAGCGCGCCTACTTCCGTAACGTGAGCATCCTCATCCCGGAGACGTGGAAGGACCGACCCGAGTACGAGAAGGCGACACTGGAGACCTTCGCCAAGGCGGACTTCCGCGTGGACAACAGCAACCCGGTATATGGTCATGTACCGTACACCAAGCAGCCCGGAGAATGCGGGGAGCCGGCCGAGTACGTCCATGTGACGCCGGAATACGTTCTGGACAACGGCACCAACAGAGAGTACAATTGGGGAGATCCGGGTGCGTACTTTTTTTTTTTTTTTTTTTTTATGGAATATGTCGTCTAATCTTTTAAGATATTGTATATATTAATATTAAAATATTAATAAATATCTAAAATGTGTGAGTCAGTCTGTCGGAGACCTCTGACCGGTGAGCTGACGGTGAGAAAAATTCCAGCTTGTGCTAAGTAACCTTATTATTATAATGCTGTATATTAGCACACAGGGCCCATTGCTATCCACAGGACAGTTACCCTGTGGGTAAAATAAGAATTCCCAAACGTTAGATTTTAATATTTGTCTCTGATAATGCTACCCAATGCTGCTATCCCCAGGATAACTATAAAGAGGTTTTAACCAATTTATCCAATGGATGGTGTTAAATGTAGGATATAGCACTATCCAGTGTTGATGAAACTGGTATTGAAAACCCTGTTGCTTTCGTTTGTTCCTAAAACATTCATTTACCCGTCAGTCACTTACGCGTTGGCTTATTAAATAACCGAATAAAAAAGCTGGACTCCAATATGCGTCATACAAACGACTGATAAGAAGCCAAAAACTCATTAAACACTTTTTAATGAAAACGTTTAAAAATGGGTGGGAACAGCAATATTTCAATCAAGTTCTTCAACATACATTTACAATAAATTAAATAGGTTTGAGTGGAAACTATTTATTGCACACTCCTAACTATACATGTACGTTGTAAGTATTAGGAAGAAACTTGCCGATAGTGTATACTGGGGTTTAAGTGTACTTTGAGGCATGTAGGCCAACTAAGAGACCCAGCCCGTCGTACAATGACAAATTTAAAAGGGCCCTAAATCTACCTGCCCGGCTCATAGCATTTATGTGCAAATATCTACTTAAAAGATGCCACAGATAAATGCCAATTATCGTCAACACGGTCATATCTCTTAACTGAGACAGCACTGAGAACTGTACTATTTTTGCAGTATAAGACAGAACGCATTCCTCTACTGTGGACTTTTATGTCATGTATCTACAATGTAGACAAAAACCACAGTATGCATTGATGTAATATTAATCTTGTGTACGGCAATTACGAGATAACGTCCCTAAATCAGTATGGGTTTATCACGGCAACCTAACAGGAGGGAAGGAATTTTGAGGAAAAAATTGGTTTCGACATAATTTAAAAGGCGTCTGAAATTTAAAAAAAAAAGAACAGTTGATTTTATGGTAAAATTTCCTCTAAGAGTGAGCAAGTAAACCCTAATAATGAAAGTTCACTTCTACCAGGAACAAATCATTAATTATTAAAGCGAAAACTCTTTTCCGCCTATCTCGGAAGACCCTCGCAATAAAGGCTTCTAGAGGACAATAATGTCATAATTAAGTTTAAATTGTTGTCGGCACTGGACACTAAAAGGAAAATATCGACAGTGCAATGTGACACTTTCGTCTGTGTAGTTTAGGCCTATAAATATTCACTATGACTCAAATCTCTACAACTCCTCTAACTTCGTTTCTTAACACTGAATAGACTAAAATATTTAATATACATTTTGTAGAACAGGTCCTTATCTCAAGTGTCTTTCCATTATGAAACAGTAGCTTCTCGTACATATATATATTCTGTTTCAGGGCGCGTGATCGTCCATGAGTTTGCCCATCTTCGCTATGGCGTATTTGACGAGTACGGTCTGGTAGAGGACGAAAACTACCCGCTGTTCTACGTGGGGGCCAACGGGAGGCCCACTGTCACCGGGTGTTCGTCGAGGGTAGGTAGGGGAGGGGTTGAGTGGAGTAAGTGGTATAACAACTACAGTACACTTGTTCTATATACAAGTAGTTTCAATAAGGGGGGGGAGGGGTACTACACACACTGGACAATAAAAGTGTCACCCCTACTGAACCAATACTTTGGGGGAGATAAATGACTGTGGAATGATATGCTCCTGGTATCATTTTATTAACATCAAATTTCACAAAAAGACCAACAGTACAATTCCATGGTACAGCGGTTTTATACTCATTAGTCTCATTATATAAGTAGACCAGGCATTATAACTACTCAAGATCTACCTACTTTGGTTATACCCCCTTTACACTGGACGGCGTCCTTTCTGCGTCCTCTCTGCGACCATGAAATTTGGCATCGCTGTGGTCTTAATAAGGAGGCACGAGCATTAATTTTGTATCAGAATGAATGCTCAATGATCGGCCAGTTGTCGGCACGTAAAATATTATAATTTTTAAACTCTCAAATGGGGCCGTACTGCTGGACGCAGAAAGGACGCCGTCCAGTGTAAAGGGAGCTTTACTCTGATTCAGGGGGTGACACTTCTTTTGTCCATTGTGAGGTAGTAACGCGCCTCCTCTGTGTGGGTGGTGGAGGGTGGAAGGGTTGGGGTATGGTATTAATAATAACGGCTGTTTAGCGGCGGAGTGGAGTGCTAGTAACGACTTTCGAAGTAAAAGTCCATGACTGGAATTTTCAACCACTTTGTGAAATATTGAATGATAGGGTATATTAAAAAACCTTTTGATCTAATACGTGGTGAAAGTCGAAAGTGAATCCAAAAAACAAACAAGCTGTAGCATTTAAGCATTTTAAAAGCATTTACAAGGAAAATTCTTTTAATTGTGTATGCTCCTTCAATTTTGCAGGTTCGCGGCACTTACAAGGTCTACGACGGGAAGACGGCTAGACGATGCATGTTAAGTCGTCTTACTGGGCTCCCAGAGAAGTATTGCCGCTTTTATCCTTTCCTGACCAGAAACACCGCCAAGGCTTCGGTCATGTTCTACCAGTTCATCGACTCGGTTAGTTTATTTAATGTCATTTTCTCTTCTTCACTCTAAGTGAACTTTGCAGATTTGATCAATAAATAAACAAATTTGAAAGATTTGCGTAGTAAAGAAAGAAAAAATAACCCTTTTTTCCCAAATTGCTGAACTGAGGATGATGGGTTAAAAGATCAAGCCCCTTGCCAAACTTTAAAGTTTATATGTAAAATAAAATTACACCAATTGCTAATATGATCCATATAAGGACACTTAGATCTACTGCGTTCCAGGTTGACTCTTTCTGTGAGATGAAGGCCACGGAGCCGTCTATGCAGCACAGTCAGTTTGCACCCAACAAGCAGAATAAGCTGTGTAACACGGGTACCTGGGACGTTATAAAAGAACACGAGGATTTTACAGGTGAGATTGCTTCGTGGCACACCTGCTGCATTCGGTGGCTTGGACTAGGTCATCTGGTGCAATGGAAGAAATCGGTATTATCAAATATGTCACGAGAGAGAGAGAGAGAGAG